ACTTTTTGCCGATTGTTGAAGAGCCAAAATGGTGCATTATACCAATCGCAATCTTTATTTAATATAGTTCCTCCAAAGATTAGATCGCTACCCCTCTCAGATTTTAGAATTACGTTAAAAAAATTGTTTATCCAACACCCTTTTTTCTCATTTGATGAGTTTAACGACTTCTGTTGGAGTGTTCCGTAATTGTATCAGTCATTCTGTGTTATATATGTTTCTCTTTTTTGTTTTTTTTTATTATGTTTGTTGTATTATATGCTAGTGTATGTTCTTTATCTAATGACGAGTGTAAATGTATCAACATGTCTGCACAATATATATATATATATATATTATATATATTATATATTAAATATTATTATATATTATATATTATATATTATATATTATATATTATATATTATATATATTATATATTGTATGTTTTACACGAATTTAAAATTGGAAATATATATAAAACATTAGTACGTGGCGGAGAGAGGTGAAATGGTAAACTAAAACGGTAGTGATAAGATGGCACAAGTAAATTAATTTTAGATAGCAAATCGGGGAGATCTGTGTGACATCGTCTACACTGCACTCAAACCGGGGTTAGCTCGAACAGACACTGAATTTGTTAACATCATGATGGCCGTGTTAATTGTTTCGAAGAGAGTCCACTTTTGTTACGGAGCCACAAACTGTGTAAAACCGTTGCCTAAGTTTCGTAATTTGGATTGTAAAAAAATATTTTCTAAATTGCTGTTAGTATTCGGCCCTCCACATTAGCGTATTATTACCCGTTTTATCATCCTCCCATCATCTCCTTAAGTTTACTCATTTATATACATATATAAATACACATGTATAATTCCTTGCTAATCGAGCAATCGGAATCGATCTTTTTTCCCGTCCGTTTCCCTAGAAAGTTGGTCCCTAATTAGCGATTTTCACCGATTTAGAGCAACAACGATATATAAATGAGAAAGTAAATTTTTGATAGTTGACCGCCTGGAACCCATAACCGTTCATATAGCGAAAACCCAATGTCGATATGAGGTCTAGAGACCGAGCTATAGCACGGAAGTTAATTTATTTAATTATATTATTATCTGTGAATATTTGTAGTATTTGTAAGTTTTAGAAACTAAGGATTTACAAGACCTGAAAAAACGTTATATATGCAAGTACAGGAGACTTTTGTTGAACACTTTGCTTTATTCACACATCCATATAACTAATACTTTGGCCCATTTTAGATGACTAATTTGTCATTTTTTAAGAGTAGCGAGGTTTGCATCTCTCCTGTCTCTGTCCAATGTTTTAAAGTTTTTGTTTACCGATTGGATAATTTTCCTATTTTCAATAGTGTGCGAGTGCAACAAGGATAGACTGAGTTTTAATTAAATCGAGTCCCAAAGTGAGTCAATAGATCAAAATAAATATCTAATTTCAACGAAGTAATTAAATTGTCCTTGATTGCACCCATGAATTTAATTAATTCCGAGGCGAATA